AACAAGTTAATATTATCTATTTTAGACGTGAGGACAACGTAGATGCAGAAGTTAAAGCCAGTGGTTTTGCAAGGCAAATAGAAAAAGAAATTGACATTTTCTTAACAGAAATTGATTTTGAATATAAAGAAGAAAAAGACAATGAAGATGTTGAGTCTGATACGGGCAGTGAGGATGAAACGTATGAAAATTGTGTTGATAATATCGAAGATTTGGAATATCAGTTAAATGATGTACAAGTTCAAGATCGAACTGCAAAAGAAAAATTTGATGTTCCAACAAGAGAGACAGTACTAAATAACGATAATGAACATTTAAAGGAGATATCTACTGTACCATGTTCTGACAAGCAAAGCAACATGGAAAATGAATGTAAACGAAATAACGGAGATGTAGAAAATGTAATGGCCAATGAAGAATACAATGATTGTACATCGTATGGTTTATCATCAAACCCGGAAGACGAAGCAGCACAGGTTTATGATGACACACGAAGTATACGGAGTATTTCAACAGCTGCTACGATTGCACCAGACGTGATAAAAAAGAGAACAAAATTAGCACTTGACAAACGTGAGAGGAGCCAGGCAAAGAGAGCACTTGTTAAAGGAGAAGCAAGCGCGGTGACGAGAATACGAAGAGATAATAGAGCTACAATTAAAGAATCGACGGGAATTTGGGGCTGGGAATAAAGTACAAGTTATATTTATTGTAAGTTATTTATTACATACAATTTAACAAATACACGATTAACGATATAAAAGATTTTTTTATAATTAGTTTATCTCAATACATTGATCATGAATACAATTATTTCTTTCTTGATATTTCCATTACTTATTTCCATTTATGTTGCTTGCATGTAAGTTACATAACAAAATGCAAGCAGTTTTAGGTGTTACCTTGTTTAGTATTCTGATCTCGTAAAACTTCAATAAAGATAAAATAGTGGAGACATATCTGAGAGAAATAAGTGTTTTCAAAATTGAATATTTCTTATCTTATAGAAAAAAAAAAATAAAAAATGTAATACTGTATTTTTCTAGATACTATCCAGAAAAATAAAGAAGAAAATATGGAAAGTAGTTCTATCTGAAGAACTAAACATTCAATCCGTTTCGGATTGCTTCAACTGCATAATTTTGTAATATTCATATAATTATCGTGTAATTGCAGAACAGATACTATCAAAGATATGTACAGCTAAACTAATACAAGCGGTTTGCCCATATTATATGCAAACTTGATATCCAGACGTATTATATATAAAATTAGACGTGCATAAAATTTATGCATTATTAATGAATAATTTTATCTTAAGTATTATTGTATATTAATATAATTAAATACTAATGAGGACCTTTTTGCATCTTGCAACATAAAGCATTAAGATGATGGGTTAATCTATTGTAAACCAAACTAGAAATTCTAAAGATTCATATTTTTCTCACATGTTAAGCAGATACTCGTCACAGATGGACAATCAAAACAAAAATTATCAGATTCTAAATAAACCTTTCACATAAGATAAAATTTATCAAACATTTGTAGACCATATGTCAGATTTTCTGATTTTCTCAATTTTGTCCTTTAATCCTTTCCAATCGGAGAGTCTAATAACATCCCTTCTCTTAAAACGTCGAACCAATTAAGAAGAATTTTAAGAAATACCTCTTCTAAATATAGATCGTACACTAAGGATCCGATCTTTAGAGACAAGTCGTCGTTCCCAAGAAGCTCTAGTCCAAGCCGTCCAAGCTCAAGTTCAGCTTCGAGTGTATAAGTACAGAAGGAGAAGTTTTCTAGAGAGGCGCACAATCAAGAGGAGAATAGGTATTTTGTTTTATTTATTTATTTTGTCGCATCTATCCTATGTTACGTCACATTGCTTCGGGGTCTTCTTCTATTTTTTGGCTCTTACCGCCTATCAGCGGTCAATACGGCCAGATTTGCCCTTGTTTGTTAACAAAGTCTGAATCACCGTTAGCGTGGCAAAGTCTAAATGGAAATCCACTGAAAGGCTGAGTGGGGATCAATGCAGACAGTAACAGTCGCAATACTTAAAATTTATTTTTCTTCCAGACAAAACACGTCCGAACGGTCCGCGCACGTTGAGCGAATTTTTTTGCTTCGGGGTCGTAACGCAACGCACGAGCTACGGACGCAGGGTCGATTGATAGCAGAGAGGAAAAGTGGAACTACATGCATATACAGTACAAATCGATTTAATAGTTCCCGCAAAAACAGCGTGTTTCCGCGATGGCATTGCGCAACGGTTGAAGGTGCGATTGCGAAATGTGCACAAATTGGACTATTCGATAAATTTGCGCCGCGAAGGATGATCGGTGATAGCGGTGGTAGTGAAAGTAAACGACGATAATAAGGTCGCGGTGATAGTTTAATACCTATATACAATATAATTGCGAGGCGTGTATATATAGCAGCGAGTTCTCTCTTGGACGCTGAGTCCCATTTCGTGCGTTCTGTGTTTATCAAAATATCCGAAAGCAACTTGACGCAGGCGGATCACTACTTATCTGTTGCAAATTTTCGCAGGAAAAACCATGGCTAAGAACAATCTCTCCGCTGTACTGTATGGCATCAACGATTTACGCCTGGTTAGTACACGATACGGAAGCATGATGAACTTGCATGGCTGCGTTTGCTCATGCTCGAATCGAACGCGCCACTTTCATGATCTTATTTCAATCACGCTGCAAACTTTCATTGATTAATTTATATTTATATAGACGATGGAAAGATTGAACGAGGCTCTTAATTATATTTTACCTTTTGCTATAAAAATGAAACATTTGTAGTTATTTCCGTTCCGTATAATCAGTTAGTGCGTGTGTATAATTTGTGTGCGTGTGTATTATGTGTATAATTTTTGTAATATTATAATAACAAATAACATATATATATATATATTGTATACAATTGTTATTTAATTAAAGTTTATTAAATTAAATATGCGATTTAAATTTATATTCGCGGCTGTGTAAAATTTCTAAAAGAAGTTTATAATAGTCTTTTTTTTTAGTTAACATTCTGTAAATAGTTTATACATTTCGTGAACTTCTTACAATTTTACTTTCTTCTTTTTTTCCTTTGCATTTG